ATATACAATGGAATATTACTCAGCAACCAAAAAAGAGAAACACATGTCTTTTGCAGCAACTTGGATGGAGCTGGAAAAGATTATGCTTAGTGAGATAAGCCAGAAAGAAAAAAAATACCAAATGGTTTCTCTCATAGCAGGAGTATAATGGACCAGGGAAAATAACAAAAATAATGAACAACCATATACCAGAGACATTTTGCGGGGGTGGAGAGGGAATGGGATCAAAAATGGGGAGTGGGGAGGGAAGTGCACGGGATTATGGTGATGGCACACCAGTGACTTGGTGATGGGAAACCTGCGGGAATTACAATTGAGATGGAAAAAAAAACTTACAAAATGATGTAAAAACAAACGGTTGTAAAATTTAAATAAATAATTTTCATCATGACCCTAAAAGGTAGAATTAGTCACCACCAAGAGGCTAAAATAAGCTCACCAGCTCTTAATCACTGTATGTCTCTATAATCATGAACTTTACACAACCTTCGCGGAGTTTAGTGTAGCAGAGCTTCTAATTCCATTTGGTAAATTAGAAAAGACCCAAAGAGCCAACTCCTCCAAGGTTATGGGAAGGGAAGAATACTAGAAATGAGGTCAAAATAAGTATCAGCTATACAATATGGATGGATCTTAAAAATAGAGCTAAATGCAAAGTTAAAAATTAACCAGAAATACATATTCATATATATTTATATGTAAAAATATCACTTGTGTAAACATGTACTGCCTGTCACATACTTTTCAGGATGTATACAAACCAAAAAATGACACATTAAGCAAATTACAGTAGTTGCCTCAGGATGGTGAGGGAGAGAAGTAGGCTCTGGGCTGTACCGACAGGTGAGACTGCTGTCAGAATACCAGAGACAAGAAGACTTAAACATTTATTTTCTCTTCATCCTAAAGACTGGGTGTCCAAGATCAAGGTGCCAGTAGGGTTGATTTCTGGGCTATAGACAGCCACCTTATCACGGTGTCCTCAGGTGGCCCTTCCTTAATGTGTATGTAGAGCTCACTGGTATCTTCTATGAGGACACCCATCTTGGATCAGGGCCCTGAGCTTATAACCTTATTTAACTGTAATCCCTCCCCCCACCTTTAGAAAGCCTTATCTCCAAATATAGTTACATTGGGTGTGGTTTAGCATTACAACACATGGATTCACATGGATTCTGGGAGGACACAATTCTGTTCATAAGTGAGAGGTGGTAGCAGGAGTTTAAAAAGGGCTACAGGAGAAATAATAAATGGAACCTAAAGAAGTGGAGAAAGAAAATGATGTTGGAAGAGCAGGCAGAATCCAGATCAGGCAGAGCTTTAAAGGCTCAGGTTAATTAACTTTGCCAAGGCCACTCAGCTCATAATTATTAAAGAAAAGGTTTGTATAGTTTACTGATTGATGCTAAAGCCCCTATCATCCAAGATTACTTTGAGTCCTAAAAACAAAGTGAAAATGTGTATATTTCATTTTATCACAAGGAAACTGGAGTTGAGAGAGCTGAAATGATTTGTCCAAAGCTGCACAGTGAATGATGAACTGGAGTTTGGGAAGTCCTGAGCAAGATACCTTTCAGACATTCTGTAGTTTTCCAGCCTTTCTTAATTACTTCATCTATTCATTCTTTCATATATTATTCATTCATTCATCTAGTATATTATTTATTGGTTCCTTCTTTGTGCAGGCCCTTGTGCAAAACACCAAAGTTATAGAAATTGGAAGACATGGTCCCTATCCTCAGAGAGCTCAGTCAGGGGTAGAAGAAACAACCAGATAACCACATAGGGACCCTGCTGGGGCCTGCAAATGTGTTGGGGTGTCTAAAGAGAAAATGTCTCTGCCTGGGGTGGTTGGAGAAGATTTCACAGAAGAGAAGAGCCCTCTGAGTCAAACCCTTGGGAAATAAGGAGTTTACCAGGTGCAGAAGGAAAAACAGCATGAAAGCCAAGACATGGGCATCCCCACTGGCGAGAAGGAGATGGGGCGAAGGTTTGAAAGACTTTGGCTGTCGCGTCTGATCTGAGATTTGGTTCTGAGAAGCCCCAAAGGACTTCAATCAGGAGAAGGCTTGATTGGGAGCAGGACTCAAGGGCAGGGTCCTCTAGCAGTGGTGGCAAAAGGCCTGAAACCTTTTAAGAATCCATTTTATGGCAAGGCCTCCCTCCCACCTCCAATCCCTTTTGATCCACTCAGTCCCTTTTTCCCTACCTCCCAACCGGGTGAGGGGGCTACAGTGGAGTTTGGAATAAGAGTATGCAGAGAACAGAGGGCTGAAACTTCCTAGAGGGACGATTAACAAGGGATCCAGGAGATGGGGACCACAGATATTCTCTTTCTTCACTCTCCCCCTCTGAGCACATTTGCACATCTCAGCTTCCTTCATTGCCCGCCCCCTTGTTTGCCACACTGACTTCCTGTCCCACCAGAGGAAGTGCAGAGCGACTGCAGGTGCAGAGACGGCTAGCAGGACCATGGTGAGTCCCTATGCCAGAATCCAGGCATCTCTGCTCCCAGCCCTCAAATCCCAGGGTTAGCCAGGCCCACCGCAGACTGACTCCTTCGGGCTCCTAAGCTCAGGTTCTGGGGGGGGCGGGGGGGGCAGCCTGCTGCTCCCAGCAGCCTCATATTATCTACCCCATCAACAGGACAAGGAGTATGTGGGTTTCGCTGCCCTCCCCAACCAGCTGCATCGCAAGTCTGTCAAGAAGGGTTTTGACTTCACACTCATGGTGGCAGGTCTGGGGGTTTGGGAGAGAGGGCTGGAGGGAACTCCTCAAGTGACCCTGGCTGCCCCATCACCTGAAGAGTTGGGCCTGTCTTGTCCACAGGGGAGTCAGGGCTGGGGAAATCCACCCTCATCAACAGCTTGTTTCTCACCAACCTCTATGAGGATCGACAACTGCCAGAGGCCAGTGGTAAGATTCTCCAATCCTCCCAGGCACTCTGCCACCTCCCAACCCCTTGCTGCACTGTTTTTCAATCTGGATGTCGCATGGGCCAGGGACTCAGGCAGCTCGCTGTTTTTCTCTGTGCCCTGGAAAATGGGTGGGGGCAACTCTGCCAATGACGGGGATGATGTTGTCTCACATCCTGCACCCTCCTCTCCCCATAGCTCGCTTAACACAAACCCTGAGCATTGAGCGCCGGGGTGTGGAGATTGAGGAGGGGGGTATCAAGGTGAAGTTGACCGTAGTGGACACTCCTGGCTTTGGGGACTCAGTGGACTGCTCGGACTGGTGAGGAGGGGGAGGTGGTGGGGTAAGTTTCCCAGTGTGACTACTTTGTGGAGAAGGGCTGGGGGTCTGTTACAGGGTTGTTCTGTCCTGGTCCCCACCACCCTGACCCAGAAGGTGGGACCTGTTTTTGGTTGTCATCTGGCCCCAACATCTCATCATCATCCCTGCCAGTTTCATCTGATGTTAAACGAATACTTCCCTTACCCCACGTCCTGATGAACCTTGTCTTCATCCCTGCCCCATGGCCCTGACCTCTGACCACACATTCTCTTCCCATACTCCAGCTGGCTGCCAGTGGTGCGCTTCATTGAGGAACAATTCGAGCAGTATCTTAGGGATGAGAGTGGCCTGAACCGCAAGAACATTCAGGATTCCCGTGTCCACTGCTGCCTCTACTTCATCTCACCCTTTGGCCGGGGGTCTGAGGGGCACCCTGGGGGTTTGGAGAGGGCTGGGGGTATCTCTAGACCCTGAGGCTGAGCCTGCTCAACCCCCCGGTGCAGGCTCCGGCCCCTAGATATAGCCTTCCTTCGGGCAGTGCATGAGAAGGTCAACATCATCCCTGTCATTGGCAAAGCAGATGCCCTGATGCCTAAGGAAACCCAGATCCTCAAGCAGAAGGTATGTAGGCTGATCTTCAACCCTGCGTAAAAGCTAAAAGTCATGATCAACCCTGAACCCAGTTTCCACCTCTTAGACCTTGGGTAGCCTGTTGGGAGCCCATGTCAGACAAGACTACGGGAGTCCTTCAGGAAGGTGGGTAGTAAGCCCCCTGAAGGAACCACATCACTGGAAGCTCAGCTAAAATCCCTGGATGGATGCTTGGCTAAGGCCCATCTGAAGGCAGTGGCATAGATTTGATAACCCTTGATGTCTGTCTGGCCCCAGATACTAAGGACACACCGCCAGTGTCTTCAAAACCCTCTCCCACCATTTCTGCTAAGTCTCTAGTATTGAGAATCTTTCCAGGTCTGTCTTCCTTATTAGGGTTTTTGTCTTAGCTTTTCACCATCTCTCTCTGTGCTTTTGTTTTTGGTCATCAGAATGTCATTTTAACACCCCTGTTTTTCCTGTCTTTGGTCATCTGGTTTCTGTATCTGCACCCCATTGCCTCTGGCTTGTGAATGCATCCCCTTGGCCTGTGGCTCACACCCTGTTTCTTACTGTCTCTGTATCTTTCTGCTTTGAGATCCGGGACCAGTTGAAGGAAGAAGAGATCAACATCTACCAGTTTCCTGACTGTGACTCTGATGAAGATGAAGATTTCAAGAGGCAGGATGCAGAAATGAAGGTTCAGAGGCAAAGGAGGAGGGCAGAGAGGGAGGGGAGGCAGATGTGCAGGTGAAGACTGACAAAGGTTTCTGTCCACATAACAGAGTTCCCTTACTCCTGCCCTCTAGGAAAGCATCCCTTTTGCAGTCGTCGGTTCGTGTGATGTCGTGAGGGCAGGTGCGAACCCACCAGTGAGAGGACGCTCCTACTCCTGGGGTACAGTGGAAGGTAAGGCCGATCATGAGCTCTGAAGCCAGCAAGCAGCCGGGGCTGACATCAGGTCAAATGCACCCAACACGTGGTGAGGGTGATCTCTGGAGTCGGGGGTGTTAGGAACCCAAAGAGGGGTCCTTGGGATGCAGACAGTTCGCCCTCCCCTAGAAGGCCGCAGGACTCTGGGCGGACGGGACCCAGCGGGCAAGGCGGGACCCAGAGCTCTCTGAGGTTCGCGGTTCCGCCCCCCAGTGGAGAACCCACATCATTGCGATTTCCTGAACCTACGACGCATGCTGGTGCAGACACACCTGCAGGACCTGAAGGAGGTGACGCATGATCAGCTCTACGAGGGCTACAGGGCCCGCTGCCTACAGAGCCTGGCCCGGCCTGGGGCGCGTGATCGAGCCAGTCGTAGGTGAGAGCAGGAGCCAACCCCTAGGTAGCTCACAGACTCTGATCTCACCTTCCAGACCTTTCCCCACACACTTGGCTTAGTCAACTGCTGGAGTCCTAGGCTCACCTGCCTCCTAGACCCCACCCTAGCCCCAGGTCCTGCCTTGTAGCCTCGACCCTCAACCAAGGGTCCCCCAACCTTGATTGTCGCCCCCTTTCCCCACCCCCAGTAAGCTTTCCCGCCAGAGTGCCACAGAACTCCCACTGCCCATGCTGCCCTTGGCCGAGACGGAAAAGCTGATCCGAGAGAAAGATGAAGAGGTGAGCAGGCATCTCAATACCTCTCCCCCCCAGTCCTTTTCCAAGCCCCTCGCTGGCCTCTCCCGACCCCCTCTCTCTTGTCCCGCACAGCTGCGCCGCATGCAAGAGATGCTGGAGAAGATGCAGGCCCAGATGCAACAGAGCCAGACTCAGGGCGAGCAGTCGGACGCTCTCTGAGGCCTCCGCGCGGGTACGCCTTACCTCGGCTCCGCCTTCAGCCCGTCCGTCGTCCAATCCCCGCGCCCCCGGCGGCCCCGCGCCCGATCCCCGGGCTCAGCCCGTAAGACCCGCCTCTGCCCCAGGCTCTCCGCCAACGGTCCCCGCACATCCGGGCTCCGCAGCCCTGCCCCGCCCCATCCGCTGCGAGAGCGCGTCTGCAGTCCGGCCTCCGGCACACCCCTGCAGGGCCCCTCTTCAGCCGAGCTGTACCTTCAATAAAGTTTCCCTAAGGCCACGCCAGTCTTTCCGCGCGGGAGTGAGTGGGGCGGGGAGCCCGGCGCGCGCGCCCCGCCGCGCATCTCAGACCCTTCCGTGCACACACACCGCAGGCGCCGCGGATAAGAAACAGGATACCAGTAGAACTTTATTAGGAGTCGGGGTGTGGGTCGGACTGGCAGAGACACGTGGGCCAGCCGAGGACCCTACTCCTGGTCCTTGGCGTCGCCGTGCGTGATGACGTAGCAGATGTTCTTGTAGTCTACGTTGCCGCCCACGTCGGGGGGGAAGGCAGCCCACATGTTCTTGATCTGCAGGAAAACGCTCAGGCACGTCCGGCCGGCGCTCCCCTCCCCCACCCAGCGGCTACCCGGCCCCTCCCCCGCTCACCTCTTCCTGGGAGAAGCGGTCACACTGAGTGGTGAGCAGTTCCTCCAGGCTGCAGAAATGCGAAATGCTGGGAGTTGCTATTGGGCTTCACGATTCTTGTCTCCCGCCTCCCACTTCATCCTTCTTGCTATTCCCAGTCTCGCCTTGAAAATCCAGGGTCACCCTGGACCTCTGATGGACTCCCCGACACACTGACCTCTCCGATCTTGCTCTTTGCCCATATTTGTTACGAAAATTTAATGCTATCTCCCATTTCCACATTCTCATTTCTCCATTATCCCTGACAGTGCCCAACCCTTGGTAAGAAGTTAAGGATGCTTTTTTTCATGAGAGCTACTACTTACAACTGCTTCTTGATGGTTCCCTTCCCTTCAGGGTCCAGGATCTTGAAGGCTCCAGTGATCACATCCTCAGGGTCTGCACCTGGGGGTCAGATAGCACATGATGCTGAAGAGCCCCCTGAATTTTCTTGGGAGGGGCAACTAGGGGCTTGTCCTAGGGACACTTAATTCACCTTTGAGCTTCTCCCCAAACATGGTCAGGAAGACAGTGAAGTTGATGGGACCACTGGCTTCCTTCATCATGGCATCCAGCTCCTCATTTTTCACATTGAGGCGGCCTGGAGCAGAGTGGGGGGTTAGGACAGTCAGGGGTGGGATTCTGTGGCCAGGAGCTGATGTGTACCATAAGTTTATATCATCCCACCCATTTTTCTTTCTTCTTTAAAAAGATTTATTTAGGCCCTCCCTGGTGGTGCAGCGGGTTAAAGCACTGCACTAAGAAGCGAAAGCCACTTCCGCATGAGTTCGATTCCCGCCTGCCCCAGAGGTGACCACATGGCGCGGCAGACCTCTCCTGACCCGCCCGCTGCTCCCCTCAGCAGTGTACTTCGTCGATCTGCGATCTGCCTGTTCTGCTCCCCACTCTGTCTCTGGTGAAGCCTCTCACCGCCCCTGAGCCTCTGGCCTGTACCCCAGTTCTGTATGCACAAATAAATAAATTTTTTTAAAAAAAGATTCATTTATTTATGCATACAAGAACTGGGGTACAGGCCAGAGGTGGGGTGTGTGTGAGAGAGGATTCACCAGAGACAGGGTGGGGAGCAAAACAGGCAGATCTACTGAAATGCACTGCTGAGGGGAGCAGTGGGTGAAAGAGGACTGCTGCACCAAGGATGGAACTCCTGCTGTAGTGGCTGCGGATAGCTTCACAGTGCTGCACTTTTAACCCCTTGCACTACCAGGGAGGTCAGCCACCCATTTTTCATCCAGGTAGAATGCAGTCCAGGCTGCAGCCAGCAGGTCTGAACCTAAGGCTACAGAATTCCCAGGACTCTGCAGTCTTAACTTCACAGGTGTAGTGGGGGGCTCACCCATGGCTGCAAAGGTGTCCCGAAGATCTTCCTTATCGATAATGCCATCACGGTTCTGGTCGATCACAGTGAAGGCCTGTGCAGGGCAGGGGCAAGGAGGAGTGAGTTCTCCCAGGGCCAGGCTTCAGCATCCGGGTCCCAGGCAGATCAGGTTCTGGCATTCAGCCAGCTGCTGTCCTTTTACACCCCAGGCAGGGAGGGGAACAAGGAATCTTAAACCCTTCCCTTCCCCCATCCCCAGGCAACAGGTGTATGTGTGTTCCAGGATGGGGGGGGCAGAAGGGGTGCCTTTGGTCAGTCTTCAGTCTCCCCTCTCTCCTCACCTCCTTGAACTCCTGGATCTGAGTCTGATCGAACATGGAGAAGACATTGGAGCTTCCACCCTCTGCTGCTGCCCTTCTCTTGGCCTTCTTGGGTGCCTAGGGGGTGGGGGTTGAGCAAAGGGGTCCATGGGCCAATCCCTTACCCCTCTTTGGAGTCAATGGATTGGATTCAGGGTTCTTTGAGTCCCTTCTAAAGCAATTCTTCTGACTCTTCCCCTCTCCTCTCAACAACCTCTTGGAGGGAAGTTGCTTCATTTACATTCCCAAATTCCTGTCTGTAGCCCTGGAATCCCCATCCTCCATCCTTCCCAACAAATGCCTGAGCTTGCCTCAGACTTACTGTGAGACTCCGACTGACTCATTCACCCAGACTCATTCATCCAGACGAACTCTCTTCTCAGTTATAAAACGGGGTGGGAACCCTTGCCTGGCTGGTTTCAAAGGGCTTTAGGGAAATGGAGCGCAGGGAGATAAGAAGCATGGTTTTAGAGGAACTGGGCCCTGGCAATGGAGTGTCTGGGCAGATTATCCTTGGCTGGGTCTTTTAAACCATCATCCTTTATGCTTCCCCCTAGCAATACCAGGAAAGGTAGGATTTAGCTTTCTTTCTTTTGGAACCAACTACTTTCAAAGGGTGAGTCTGCCTCAAGGTTTGAGGGGCCTGGGGGATCTGGATCCTCACTCACCATGTCTTCAGTCTCCTGGGGGCAAGCAGCAGCTCTGACTGGAAAGGAGCAGACAGTCAGCCTGGGGCTGTCCCTCTGGGGTTATATAGCCCTGCCCCAGGGAGCCCTTAACATACCAGGGTAACCTTAGCCTTGCTGGTGCCCACCCCAGATACCAAAATAGACCGGCTCAGGGCCTCCTTTCTTTGAGGGCCCACAGCAGCTGGAGCCCTGGGGGAGGGAGGAGGGAGTGGGTCTTGGGATGCTTGTCTCACTAGGTCCTGAGCAGTAAGTATCTTTCTCCCAAAAGGGGGCTGGAATGTGCCAGAATTCAGAGAGAACCTAGCTGAGGCATAATGGGGGGGAGGGGTGAACCAAGCCTTTGCACCCTGGAGTAGGATGGGCCGAGATTTAAACCCAATAAATTTATAGAGCTTCTACCGTGGGTTAGGCTCTGGGCTGTGCTTCATGCACTTTGACACAGCCCCTCCCCTTCTACTGTGGTGTTCACATTTAGTGTTTGTATAGTTAGCATTAATGGCAGCATTTAAAGGTAGGAAAGTGTCTTCTGTGGAAGCTGAATGGCCAGGCAGTTCATCTCTATCTCTCTTCAGTAGGGAGGATTTTGTCAGGAAAGATGCAGAGCCGTGGGGCTCTCCCTGGTGGCAGAACTGGTTAAAGTGCAACACTGTGAAGCCAGCCACAGCCACTTCAGCATGAGTTCGATCCCAGCCAGGAAGGTGACCCCCATGGCGCAGTAGACCTCTCCTGTCTTGCCCGCTGCACCCCTCAGCAGTGTACTTTGTCAGTTTGCCTGTTCTGCTCCCCACTTTGTCTAGTGAATCCTCTCACCACCCTTGCACCTCTGGCCTCTACCCCATTTCTATATGAAGAAATAAATCTTAAAAAAAAAAAAAAAAGATGCAGAGTGTGGATTCAGTAGTGATGGGGAGACTAGACAGCCTGGAGCAGAAAGTGTGCTGTGACCTTGAGCTCTGTGCTTTGGTTTCCCCCTCTATAAAATAGGGATGTAATTCCCATCTCACAGAACTTGTGGAGGTGACACTATTTGGAAAGGGCTTAGTGATGTATAATCACTGTAATTAATACTTAGACCCTGCCTTGATGGAACTTATAGTCTAGTCGTGGAGACAGGATAAATGCAGAAAATGACATAGCAGCTGATCAAGGGTGCAGAAACAGAGGGCGTGGCAGCCCTGTGTAGGCGTATGGGAATCACTTTATGAGGCCAGTAAAAGTGAGTCAGGTGAACGGAGAGGGGCAGTATGCTAAGCAGAGTGCATGGATGGGCAAATACCTGGAGAAGTGAACGATCAGATGTATACAGGTTGGCAGAATGATGATTAGCAGAGGGTGCTAGGGACTGGAGCCTAGGCTCGAGAGGGCCTTCCGTGCCGGGCTGAGGACTGAGACCTTGGGAACCTTGGAAGAGTTAGAAACACGGTCTAGTGTGAGTCTATACTCCTTTCTTCGGATACTGGTATGAAAGCTGGAGCTCAGAGGAGGGGAATCAAAGACACAAAGAGGGAAGCTAGTTTGTCTCCTGTGTAACTCGAATACTAAGTGTCTTTTTTTCTCCATTCTGGGCAAGAACCAGCTTAGCTGACTGTGTGACTTTGAGAGACCCCCTTCCATCCCCCTGGATCTCAGTACTCCAGTCCCCTGCATACGGTCAAGGTCTGGGGAAACTGACTGAGGAAGCCCCAGGAGACCCAAGGTTCACAAAAACACCCTCCTGCTCCCTCTGGGACTTGATGTTCTGAGGAAGGTGTCTCTTCCCTTCCCCCTTCTCCAGCATCATGCCAATCATTTAAAGACATTTTCTTTTTTGGGCACTGGGGCACAGCCACCTGTTGTCTCTAAGAAGAGAGAAGGAGCCACCCTAAACTTAGCAGCTGCCCTGGGCGGCCAGCACTGGCCCCTCCCTGCCTCACTTGACAGCTGCCTCACCCTTATATGGTTACCATGGGGGTCCAGGTCCAGGGAGCTCACTTATTACTGGATTCTGGGAAGGAGGAGGGCTTCAGAAAGGGGAACAGGGGAAGCTTGGTTCAAATGGAAAGTGGGGTGTTGAGAAGCAGCAGCTCGGGAGTGGTATATCTCAGACACTGAGTTGGAATTCACAACAGCTGGTTCTGAACTGGGAGCGAGGAGCCTCAGAAAACTGGGAAACTGAGGAAGAGCTTGGAAGGTGGAAGCTAGGCCTGACTGAAAATTCAGGATGGTGGATTCTGTGTGGAAAGTAGGATGCTTTATCCCTGGGGCTCAGAGAGTAGAGGGGCTGTAAGGTCATAATTTTGTTTGTGTCTAAGGGTGGACTGGGAGCGGGGTGTCTTTTTCTTTATAAGAAAATGAGCACAGTGAGGAATGGCAAGGAGAAGAGAGGAGTTGATGGGACAGGGGTCCTAGATCCCTAAACGAATAAGAACATAGACAGGGGGATGCATGGCATTGGGAATTTATGGTTTTGGAGTCTCCGATTCCCATTAGAATGGGGAGGGGACTCAGAGAGTGAGGTCTGAGGAATTGGAACCTGGATTCTGGGGAGGAGTGCAGACAGATCGGGGAGGGGGGCTGAGGAGAGGGACTAGGGATTTGAAACTCCATAGGAAATTATGGATCGCTTAGAAGGTTTGTGGGCTCCGGTAATAGTCGTTTCAACTCAGAGTGTTGGAAGTTGAGAGCACTGGACAGGACACTGGGTCTGAGTGGAGCTCGGTGGTCTCATAGATCACGCGTGGGGAGGGGGGGCGTCGGGGGCTCCGGAGCTGGATGGAGAATGGGGGCCCAGAAAAAGACTCGGGCAGGGCAGAACAACACTCTTATTGGCTTAGGGGTACTCTAATGCTTCCAGCACCCACCCCCTCTCTGCGCTGTCCCCAACTGTCACCCCCTCTGCCGCGCTCGTCTCCGGTTGTCACCGATATCCCTGGAGTGGCACCGCCTGTTGGCAGCGCCCCTGCCCTTCGGGTGCTGCCATTGGCTATGACAAGCGTCTGTTTTCTTCCTCTGTTGCTAAAGTGAGCTAATGCGCTCATTGGCGGAAGACGTAAATTAATCGCCAATTTGGCCCGCCCTCCCCGCGCTGAGATACTTTTCTGACCTTCTTGGGAGACCTAAAGAACCCCGCGATTCCTACTGACTGCGGGCGCTGTCTGTCACCGTGCAAATACACAGCATTGCGAATGCGACCTCCGCCTACCCCTCTTCTCATTCGCTCGGGTAGTACCGTTGCTTTTCGCCGGGTCGGGCCCGTCTCTCAACGCACCCGCCTCCTCCCGCGGCCATTCACCCGTCGGCCACCTTCACTGGCCAGAAGCTTCAGCTTCCCGTCTTCCTATTGGCCACACAGCCCGACGCCTTCTCCACTTCCTCTTTCCAGATGACCCCCCTCCAGCCCCCTCCAGCCCCACCCACCCTTGCAACGATTGGCAGACCACCAGTTTCCCTTCAGCTGTTATTCGTCCCAGCCCTCTGACTAGGCGGGAGGAAAAAGGAGCGCGATGGGATGCTTCGCGCGCAGGCGTGAAGCTCCGAAAGGCTGGCCGCTCGGCCGGCTCCGGGGCGTCTGCGCAGGCGCGAGGCCGGCCTCTCGTTCCAAGAGGGAGGGGGCGGCGGCGGCGAGAGCGCGCGAGGGGTGAGAGGGCGCAAGTGAGACCCCGGCGCCTGGCACCCGGGTAC